TTTTGTTTAAAATCCTGCTGTTATTTGTCCTGCCGAACAGTGGGTGACCCTCATCGCTCCGTCCAAGTACCCGGCGAACAGCGAGGACACTGCTTTCTCGAGGACGCTTGAGAGCGTGCGCAAGGACGTTGAGTGCTTTTTCGATATCCTGAAGGGGCGTTTCAGGATCCTCAAGCTCCGCCTCGGGTACCGCTCCAAGGAAGACATCGACAACATCTTCTCCACCTGCTGCATCCTGCACAACATGCTTCACACCTTCGACGGCATGGACGTGTTCGAGGAAGATGTCGACTGGGTGGGGAGCGCTGGCCTGCACGACCCCTGGGACCATGACCCACTGACAGACTTCACGTCTATCGGATCGACCGGGAAGCTTTCGGAGAAGGAGGGAGGGGAGGGGGGGGAGGAAAGCAGCGAGACGATCGACCAACACCCGGCGCACAGAGAGCTCAAGAAACAGCTAATCGAGAGCTTCTCTTACCGGAAGAGACACAACGACATTACATGGCTTTCTAGGCCCACGTGAGCCTTCTTTTTGCTACCACGCCGCTGCCTCGGGTATCTGTTGCAAGCCGTTTGTTTGTTTTCGCTACACGCGGTGTTTAGTAAGACGTTCCCGCCTTGAAGATGGTGTTGTCGCGTGGGTTGTTTCATATTTTCGCTGTGCTGTCTTGCACCTGTCGGACATGGGGTACTCTTGTATTTGTCTGCAAGAGGGACTCTGTGCGTGTCCGTGCGTGTGGCGTTTGTGTGTTCGAGTTTCAGATTGCCTTGTTATTTATCGGTGCCACGGGCATTTGACCAGCTTCGGTTCCAACCAAAATTCTTGGTGCACCACCCCCATGTGACTGCCTTGGAGGGAGAGATGGGTGATAGACTTGCGTTTTGTGTTTTTTTCATGTGCCTAGTACATTTGATCAGCTTCAGTTCCAACCACACTCCTTGGTGCACCACCCCCATGTGACTGCCTTGGAGGGAGAGACGGGTAATAGACTTGCATCTTGTGTTTTTTTTTGTAGCGGTGTCGAGTACATTTGATCAGCTTCAGCTCCGACCACACTTCTTGGTGCACCACCCCCATGTGACTGCCTTGGAGAGAGAGATGGGTGGTAGACTTTCGTCTTGTGTGTTTTTTTAGCGGTGTAGAGTACGTTTGACCAGCTTCCATTCCAACCATACTTCTTGGTGCACCACCCCCATGTGACTGCCGTGGAGGGAGAGATGTCGGCTTCTGCACCCTTGAGCTTCTTGTTCTCTGCGTTGACCTCGTGTGCCAACGTCTTCATTTCCGCTCGGCTGTGCTTACCCCCGGCCCCGTTCATCAACTTAAGGCCTTTCGTGCTCAAGCAAGGTTTACTCTCGTCTTCCGGAGTCGGGGACGCAGATCCCGACCCGGATGCACATCCCGACTCCGCCTCCTTCGTTTTGGTGCCACTGGGCCTCCCACTAGTCATTTTGAGCTTCAGATCGACATCGTCGTTGGTACCAGCGGGCCTCCCGAAAGTGGCGAAGACGAGGGAAGCCGGGTGCAGCCAGTGTTCGGGTTTGGGTTCGTACAGACGCGTTAGGTCATCTTCGGTTTCTGCGTCCCCCGCCGTTCCTCAGGCTCCTTCCCCTCCTCCTCGTCAGCTGTCTCCAGCTTGATGTCAGCTGCAATCTCCTCCACCACGTCTGCATCCTCCCCCTTATTATTCCTGGCAGCCTCGACCCGTGCCAGGGCTTTTGCTGTGGCGTATCTCAATGCCGCTTCCGAGTGGCCGAGAGGTCCCGCCTCTTTACCCCCCC